GAGCAGGGAGCCCGATGCGGGGCTCGATCCCAGGACCCCGGGATCGTGACCTGAGCCGAAGGCAGACGCTTAACGACTGAGCCACCCAGGCGCCCCCTACCCAGTGTTTTTGAAGTGGTAGCATGTCTGTGGGTTTCCTCTTTCTTCAGTGATTGTCTGGCTTGTTCCTGCCAGACCCTCATTGGCTCGCGACCAAGGCTGGCAGTGGTCTTTGGTCACTTTCATCATAGCATGGGCTCCCACATCTTTGGCAAGATTTCTCAATTCCACTTTGTAACTGACTTACATTGTCCTGCTGGCTAGTTACAACATCAGGTACCTGGAAGATAGGTGAGGAGGCGGCGGGCATTGATCGGGAAGGGATGTTGGAGCCAGACCCGTTATACAAGTGGCGAGCCACTTGGCCAATATCTCACGGTATGATGTCTTGGCATTCTGGCAAAAGGAGATGGAAGCCTCCTAGAATGAGTACTCACAGAGTTGAGGCTGCCAGGCACACCACAGGTGCTTTCCTTCCCTGGCAAGGGAAGGAGGTGGATCCGATGCTCGTCTCCCTCAAGCCAGCCCCAGGTTGAGCCACTAAAGCCCATCTTCCTCCCCACCCCAGGTGAAGACTTTGTGGATATCCCAGAAAACTTCTTCGGGGTGGGTGGCGAGGAGGACATCACCATCCAGACAGTGACCTGGCCTGACATGGAGCTGCCCCTGCCCCGAAACGTCACCGAGGGTGAAGCCCGAGGCAACGTGATCCTCACTGTGAAACCCATCTTTGGCGTCTCCCCCACTGTCCCGGAGCCCGAGGAGCCCTTCACGTTTGCCCCGGAGCCCGAGGAGCCCTTCACGTTTGCCCCCGATGGAGGGACCTCTGCCTTCCCTGAGGCTGAGAACAGGACTGGAGAGGCCACCGGGCCCTGGAGTGTTCCCGCCACGCCCGGCCCGGCCTTCACCGCCTTCACCGCCTTCACCGCCTTCACCAGTGAGGACCATGTCGTGCAGGTGACCGCAGTCCCAGGCGCAGCCGAAGTTTCAGGGCGGCCACGATTGCCAGGGGGTAAGTGTCCGCCCCTCAGGGGGCTGCATGGGGGCTGGGGGGGCAGGTGGAAAGAACTTGGCCTAAGGATCTATACCTTCAACTTAGCCTGAGACCTGGGCGAAGCCTCCATTCTCTCAGACTCCGTTCTCCTTGCTTGTAAAACAAGGGCGTAGGCCAGAGAGTGGCCCCCACACTCTTTTGCCACAAAGCGTTTCCTTCAAATGAAGTCAGAGTTGGAAACTGGAGTATGTGTCAAGCAGGTAAAGATACCACATGGGTCTAGGTGAAGCAGGACCAAGAACTGGGGTTCTTTTGTCCAGGACCACCACCCCCCCCACCCCATCAGGCACCACCACAGAACAGAGTCGCTTGAAAACCGCTGTACGAGGTGACCCTGGGGCTCCTCACAGAGCTGACCTTCTGGGACGGGGGTCAGCAAACCAAGCTCCGAACGGCCACATCAGCTTGCCACCTGCTTCTCTATGGCCCACACCCTAAGGATCGCTTTACAGTTTTAAGTAGTTGGGCGACAAAGTCGGAGTGAGAATAATCTTTTGTGATGTATAATGAAAATGACATAAAATTCAAGATTCAATGTCCATGAATAGAGTTGGACTAGAACAAAAGCCACAGCTACTCGTCAGTGTGCTGTCTGGCCCTTTTCGGGCTACAGCCACAGAGCTGAGTAGTTGTGACAGAAACCATTGAGCCCACGAAGACTAAACTGTGTCCTATCTGTCCCTTTCCAGAAAATGCTTGCCAGTCCCTCTTCTAGGATGGGGTTGTTCCAGATGCTTAATAAAAGTCTGGAGGCTTGGGATGTTATAGAGCTCAGCTGATCCCGAAGCTCCAATGCAAGAACAGGAAGCACATTCTGGGGTGGCTTTCGTAAAGACCTCACTGGTGTCCCCTCCTGGGGGAAGAGCAGATGGACACTGCCATCCACCATCACACCCAGGATGCCACCAAGTGGGATTTCAGCCTGAATTGCCCAGATGAATACAATCTGTTGGGAAGGAGAAATTGTTTCAAAGTTTTGGGGTAACCCCCTGATTGGCTGGGTCCCAGGGTTAGCCCAGGACTGGAAAGAGTCCCACTGGCTCCGTGAGCCAAGGGACAGATGAGCATTGGCCACAGGACAGGATAAGGGACGTGGGAGAGTATCAGACCAGGGATTTGAAGCTGTGTCATAACCTGGCCAATCACCCCGGGAAGTGTCAGAAACAGAGACGAATGGGATGTGTATGCAGCAGAATACAACGGGAGAGGCAGAGTAAGTGGGCAGCTCAAGGACAGGGCTCTGCCCCTTTGAGAACCTGGCAAAAGCCACGAGGCCACTCCCCAGAATGTGCTCGGTGCACACCCACAAAATCTCTGGCCAGCACTTTCCGGGCAGGCACCCACCCCCTGGGCCCTGGGCCAGGTAGAAGAAATGCCAGTGATTGTTCGATATATTCCTTAGCCTTTTCTGTATTTTCCAAATGTTCTTTTTATAATGAGGAAAAGGCATTTGTTTTGAAGAGTAAAGGGACAAATGAGCAGCCTAGGAGTGAGGAGCCCAAAGAGGAGGGTTGGGGACACCCAGGGCAAAAGAGTCCTCCAAGGCTCTCTCAGGGAGATGGATTTCAGGAGCAGCTTGAACAAGCAGAGGGAACCAACTCAGTTAAGAACAGGATCAGAAGTAGGAAAGGAAGGAGGGGATGAAGGGGAGTCATTCCTGAAGGAGCCAGGGCTCCCTCCCTGCCCTCAAAGCCGAAGAACCAGGCCCCGCGGGCCCCGGCATTGTGGTAACCAGTCCATGCCCTGAGCCTACGTTGTCTCTCCTTCTCTTCCTCTCCTCCCCACGCAGGGGTTGTATTCCACTACCGGCCTGGCTCCGCCCGCTACTCACTGACCTTTGAGGAGGCTCAGCAGGCCTGCCTGCGCACTGGGGCTGTCATGGCCTCTCCAGAACAGCTCCAGGCCGCCTATGAAGCAGGCTACGAGCAATGTGATGCTGGTTGGCTGCAGGACCAGACCGTCAGGTGAAGGACGAGCCCCTCCAGCACCCCCCAGCCCAAAGCCGACCATGAGAGGTTGGGCTTGGGGAGCAGAACCTGTCACGGCACCCAGCAGAATGGGCACCTGCTACACTGTGCAGTAATTAATTAATTAATGACTCCGTGGCTCCTCCCTTAATTTCTCCCCCAGAAGCAAGGCATATTCTGAGCGGGTGGGAAGGGCCCCAGGTGATATTAAGTCCTTGGTCATTTACCCCCAAGGGACAGAGAGGGAGAATCTCCCCTCCAGCTTGATTTAGTGCCCTTCCATATAACAGGCTCTCTTCTGAAGCCAGGAATCCCCCAGCGGCCTCCAGACCCTTCCCCCAGCCACACAGGGACATTGCTGCATGAGGAGCCCCCTCCCGGTTTGCATCCCACCAGACAACTGAAGATGTGCCCTGCCCAAGTCCCCGAGAGAGACCAGCCAGTCCCTCCCTGGGCCCTGCATCCCCCAGCCTCTGGAACAGGCCTTCATGTGCCCCTCCTGCCCTCCCTTGCAGATATCCCATCGTGAGCCCACGGACCCCGTGTGTGGGTGACAAAGACAGCAGCCCAGGGGTCAGGACCTACGGTGTGCGGCCACCATCAGAAACCTATGATGTCTACTGCTACGTGGACAGGCTTGAGGGTACGGCCCATGTTCTCGCATTTTGGGCCCCAGACAGGCAGGGGGCTGATGGGGAGACACAAAGAGGAGGGGGAACTACCATCCACCCAGTTCGGTTCCTGTTTAAGAAAGGTTGGCCCAGCCCCTCCCTAAGATCAAGCTCCTTCTCTCCCTCCTGTGTGGTTCATGTGGGTTCCCCCAGCACTGCAGGCAAGCACTGGTTCCTTAAAAAAGCAGTGATTTCTGCTGATAAATGAGTCTTTACTTATTACAAATAAATGTTATATACGCCACCTGCCTCGTGGAGAGTCCTGATGCCCAGGAACAAATCAAAGACACTGAGAAATCCTGCAGTAGAAAACCTCTTTAACTCTGCTTAACCAAGCAGCGCAAGCTTACTTAACCACAGACCTTTTCTTTTGTTTCATTTCATTTCTTTTCATTTCACTTATAATCACCAAATTACTATTCCACTGAACCCAATTTTGGAAATGCTGGTGTTCTGGAAAGATTTCGGCATACCCACTCACTTGTTTTGGGACCTGGGGCAAGTTACTTAAACTCTCTGGGCCTTAGTTTCCTCATCTATAAAACAGGAGCTGACTGTGCTCCTATGAGAGCCTTTGGTGAGCGTTAAATGAGATATGTGTGACAAGTGCCTGGTACAGGTAGGTATTCAGTGGGGGCGCCTGGGTGGCTCAGTGGTTAAGCGTCTGCCTTCGGCTCAGGTCGTGATCCCAGGGTCCTGGGATCGAGCCCCGCATCGGGCTCCCTGCTCGGCAGGAAGCCTGCTTCTCTCTCTCTCACTTCCCCTGCTTGTGTTCCCTCTCTCGCTGTGTTTCTCTCTGTCAAATAAATAAATAAAATCTTAAAAAAAAAAAGTAGGTATTCAGTGAATGTGAACTTCCTTCTCCCAGATCAGACAGGCACCTGGGTACCGTTCTGCGTGTGGGGACCCGAACCCCAAGAGTGGCTCCAGGACCCGCCCCTCCCCTGCGATGAGTTCCCAGGGGTGGGGGTGAGGGGCTGCCAGTCCTCGGCATCCAGGAGCTCCATGCTTGAGTGCCGTGGTGGAGCGGGGAGCACAGGGGGTCGGGGGGGCTGCCAAATGTGACCAGACAATCTAGAGAAGATGGAAGGAGGGAAGGTTGTTCCCACGTAGAAGGACCGACTGGTCTCAATTCAGTTGCCCTGTCCCCCCCGCCCCCTCCCCCCGGGTGAGCAGAAGTCGCTCCGGCTGTGGGCATGAGGGTCACACGTGCCACCTGATTCTGCCCTCAGGAGAGGTGTTCTTCGTCACACGCCTGGAGCAGTTCACCTTCCAGGAAGCCCTGGCATTCTGTGAATCTCACAACGCCACCCTGGCCTCCACCGGCCAGCTCTACGCCGCCTGGAGTCAAGGCCTGGACAAGTGCTACGCCGGCTGGCTGGCGGACGGCAGCCTCCGTTACCCCATCGTCACCCCGAGGCCCTCCTGCGGTGGAGACAAGCCAGGCGTGAGAACCGTCTACCTCTACCCCAACCAGACAGGCCTCCCCGACCCCCTGTCCCGGCACCACGCCTTCTGCTTCCGAGGTATGCCTTCTCGCCTCTCCTCCAGCCTCCCCTCTGCCTGGCGCGCAACTCCTCTGGGTTCACCCCTTCTGGCCCCCGTCCACTATCTCCATCCATCAGAGCAAGGAGGAAAAATTCAGCCCCTCTGGGGCAGGGACAGCTCTGGGGCTAGCATGACCTTAGGCGTTGACCCCAAGGCAAGCACATCCTTCTAAAGGTCCCCCAGAGACCAGCAGAGAGAGATGAGTGAGAACTGGGGCTCTAAAATCAGGCAGACCTGAATTTTAATTATAGCTCTGCTGCTTAGTGGCTGTGTAACCCAGGGCAAGTCACTTAACCTCTCTGTTCCTCTGCTTCGTCTATAAAATAGTGATATAATCGTTCCTGCCTCAAAGAGTCGCTGTGCGGATAAGCTGGGATAGTGCATACAAAACACGTGGCGACGTGCCTGGGACATAATAAATTCTCAGTAAATGTTATCCTTATCATTACAAATAACACACACATACACATATATATACTGTTTTAATGTGTACACCCTTGCCAAATTTTCTTCCGCCTATAAATATGTCTGTGACGTGTTGAGTCAAAGTATTCTTTTACTCTTCACTAAGCACCAGAAATTCATGGTTTTAATTGAGCCACGCTGAGGACCCACTGCCGCATCAATCAATCCTCATTACCTGTGGGAGTTCTGAGAGTGATGTCATCAAACAGCCCAAGGGGTATGGCTAGGGCGTGGCCAAGGCCATGCTGGGCTCTGCCCAGATGAGACCCCCAGGTCTCCATCTACTGCCATGTAGATTGTAGTCACAGCTTGGGCCATGTTTTATATCTGATGCATCAAAACTGAGTGTCTTTGTAACTTCCTGTGAATGTATCATTAGTTCAAAACAAAGTTAACAAAAAATAAAGCCTGAGCTTTCGCCAGCTTCTCAGACTTCCGGAGTCACCTTTGAAAACCCAGTTCAAAGGAAGCTCAGCCCCACTGTGCAGCCTCAAGAAAGCCAAACTCCTCCCAGAGGATGTGTTGAGGCTCCTGTGTTGGTACCCCTCTCCCTGGTCTGGGCAGCAGAAGCCAAACCAGTTAGCCTCCCAGGACATTCTTAGCCTTGCATGCCTACTGGCCCCCACCCTCCGTGAACTTGGTCTTTTCTGTAACTGCAAAGAGGTTTGGCCTCCTTCCCGACCGAGCCCACCGCTGGTTTCCCCTAAACCAAAACAGTTACCCCCATCAATAAATCCTGCCTTCGGCCTCCAGTGCCAGGACGACCGTGGATTTTAAACAGCAGCCTCCTATTTTTGACCCAGACATACTTGGAACCTAATCTGTCCCCAAGAGAGGCAGCGTCGTGCCGTCATCGAGAGCAGAGTAGTCTGGCACCAGATACTTGCCTTCGAAGACGAGATTTGCCATATATAAGCCAGTGGCCCTGGGCAAGTCATTTAACTCTGTGCCTTAGTTTTCCTCTCTGTAAATGAGATCATAGTATCTATCTCATAAGGCTGTTGTGGAGTAAAATGATTTTATATACATAACACCTTTAAACAATGCCTGGCACGTATAATACATTCTGCAGAAGGGATGCCCCAGACCGCCCTGAAACAATGGGGGTACTGATGGTCTGTGCATATCAATATTGTGTAAGTGAGGCAATCAGCTCTCACAGAAGACAAGAGCCATCTTACTGGGCTTGGCGGGGGGTGCGGGCAGAGGTCGAGGTCCAGCAAAGTTTTTGCACCAGCCTGGTCTCCCTCAAAATCCCCTAGTCCCCCTGGAGAAGGGCCAGCCTGGGATGGGTGGCTGGCAGGAAAGAACGCTCACCATGCACCTCTCTTTAGGTGTCTCAGCAGCGCCCTCTCCAGGAGAAGAAGAGGGTGGCACACCCACCCCCTCTGTCGTGGAGGACTGGATCGCTACCCAGGTGGGGCCTGGTGTGGCTGCTGTCCCCGGGGTGGAGGAGACCACCGCAATCCCGGACTTCACGATTGAGCCAGAAAACCAGACGGAATGGGAACCAGCCTACAGCCCAGCGGGCACTTCCCCACCGCCAGGTCTGTACGGCCAGGGCTCTGGGGTGTACCCTGAAGTCGCACGTGCCTGTCTGCCTAGGCTGTGGCCCAGGGGTGGTTCTCTCCCTGGGACCTGTGCTCTGTTTCCCCGGCCCTAGCACTAGCTGGATATGCTGCCGGGGGCAAGGTCAGCCACCTCAAGTGGCCTCTAGGACAACTGCCAAGGCAAAGAAGGGGCAGCCTTGATCATAAAACACACCTCTCTCTCCCTCTCTCTCTCTCTCCACCCCCCAACTCGCTGTTCCCTTCTTTTTATTTCTCCCACCTACACACTGCGCTGCCCATCATTGAGCCGATCAGAGGGCTCTCAGTCTGTCCTCCTGCATTTACACCTCTACCCTCTAACCTTTTACAAACTTTCTTGTAGGCAGATCTCCAATAGTGGGGAAAGGACCTAGAGGGGTCGTTGGAAGTGTGACTGTGACCTGTCCCCTTGCCTTGCTCCTCCTTCTGTGTCCCTCTTCTGAGCCAGGCAACCCCAGCCAGCACCTCCTGAGCCCCATCTGTCCTGATCAAATCAGATGAAACTTGATGGGATAAAAGCTTCAATCCCCCAACCGTGTTGGAAAAAGTGTTTTGTGGCCATAAGGTTTGGGACAGGCTGACTTACAGAAAGATTAACAGCTTTCCTCACTGCAGACCTTCTCAGTGCCTTGGATATGCTAATAAGTGCTATAATGCAGAGGGGGGGATGTATTCAAAGTGTCCCAAATGAATCTGACCAAAACCCATAGCGCATTCGTATATGGCCCAGTTTGGGTAAGGCTGAATTAAAGCAATGCCCAGTAATGTGTGTGTGCTTAGTAGTCAGCTTGCCGGGGGACAGGTTCATTTGAAGAAATGAGTATATCAGAGCTTCGCATTACTTCACGTAGTCACTCATTCAGTGCACTGTTCCCAAGCAGTTCAGTCATGCCAGGCTGGGTGCTGGAAATGCAAAGTCTGGCCTCCCTCCATGCCGGAAGGTGAGGGTGTATCAGCAGAGCAGGTGGGATTCTGGCCCGGAGACCTCACCCAGCAGTCATACCTGCCTGTGACCCTTTCCTCACCCTTCACCAGGACAAGAATAACCAAGTCCTGTTTGGCCTGAGTGTGTGGCTTGGCACAGGATTCTGGCAGCGACCAGTGGGAGTTTCCATGGGAAGGGAGTCCAACGGGCCCCTAGAAATATTTTCCATTCTTCAGTTCCCTACTACCTTGGCCATATCAGGAATCATCTGTACTGTTGTTAACTCTATGTCTCTTTCTTTAAATTGACTTGCTTTTAAAAAGAAACCTAAATTTATTTAAAAGAGAAACGTGTTATCATGACTGTTAGTGGCCACCCCAGAGTGTTTCTGGTATATATATATATGTACACACACACACACCCCTAACACCCTCTTGTAAGCCACCACTACTATCCTGAACCCCCCACCCACCTCCAGGATTCTGCTGTAAGCCAGAGTAGGCTGTGAGCCTGCCCAATGGAACTAGCACCTGCTTGGTTCAGGTCCTCTACCTGAGAAATAAGCCCAAAAGAACATGCAAGGTCCAATCCCAGCTAGGTGTTTTTTGTTTGGTTTTGTTTTGTTTTGTTTTTTAAGATTTATTTATTTATTTGGAGAGAGAGTGCGTGCGTGCACAGGCAAGTGGGCGTAAGGGGCAGAGGGAGAGAGAGAAGAATCTTAAGCACACACCGTGCTGAGCACAGAGCCCGACAGCGGGCTTGATCTCATGATCCTGAGATCATGGCCTGAGCCAAAACCAAGAGCCGGACGCTCAACTGACTGAGCCACCCAGGTGCCCAACCAGCTAGGTTATTTTTAAATGCCAAGGGAAACAAGATGGAAAGAAAATAATGCAACCATGATTATTTAGAATGATGAGACTTTTTCACTCTGTTTTCCAAATCCTTTTCAATAGCACTCTCAGAATTTACAAAAATGATGTATTTTTGCCAACAGTACTGTCTGGCCTCCCCTGCCTCAGAGGGATGGCTTTGGATGAATGATTCTCAAACTCAAGGGGGGCATCAGCATTGTGAGGGTTCCAGGGTGGGGGGGTGAGGAAGGGGCTTATTTAAAGACAACGTGCCTGGGTGGCTTAGTGGGTTAAGTGTCAGACTCTTGGTTTCCGCTCAGGTCATGATCTCAGGGTCCTGGGATCAAACCCCATGTTGGGCTCCCCACTCAGTGGGGAGTCTGCTTGTCTCCCTCTCTCTGCCCCTCCCCCCGTTCACGCTCTCGCTCTCTCCCTCTCTCTAAAATAAACAAATAAATATTTTTAAAAATAAAAATTGAAAAAAAAAAAAGACGACATGCTGCCCCCACCCTAGAGTCCCCAGAGGGACTGGGGTGGGGAATGAGAACCTGCTTTTCTATCAGGCTCCCAGGTAATGCTGGTGTTGTCGGTCCAGGGACCACACTTTGCAAATCATGGGTTTAGATAAATGAGATGATCGTGTGGAGGTACTTGAGAGGTGACCTCCATTACTTTCCAGGGGAGCCAGGCCCCTACTTGCCTGGGTTGTGTGGATGGCACCCCCTGGAGTCTCAAAGAGCATAGTTTCCTCATCCCCTCCCTCCTTCCTTCCCCAGACACTGTGCAAGGTTCCATTAGAAAACATGGGAGCACACCTCTGAAGAAAAGTTTTACTGTGGAAGGAATGGGTGAGCCTCAAATAGAGCAGAGTTACTAAAGTAAATCCACGCCTCATCTTCTTCCTTTCCTCCAGGGATCCCTCCAACGTGGCCTCCCACCAGTGCAGCAACAGAGGAGAGCACAGAAGGCCCTTCTGGAACGGAAGTGCCCTCAGCCTCAGAGGGGCCGTCCCCCTCGGAAGGGCCATCCCCCTCAGAGGAACCACTCCCCTGGGAGGAGCTGTCCACACTTTCACCCCCAGTGCCCAGTGGGACTGAGCTGCCAGGCTCTGGGGAGGCATCCGGTGTACCTGAAGTCAGTGGTGACTTCACAGGCAGTGGAGAAGTTTCAGGACATCTGGACTCCAGTGGGCAACCCTCAGGGGAAAGAGCAAGTGGACTGCCCTCTGAAGATCTTGACTCCAGTGGGCTCACGTCTGCTGTGGGCTCAGGCCTGCCTGTGGGAAGTGGACTGGCCTCAGGGGATGAAGATAAAATTACATGGTCCAAAATTCCTGAAGTTGGAGGTGAGGGCCTAGAGACTTCTGCCTCTGGAGTAGGGGACCTCAGCGGGCTGCCTTCTGGAGAAGGTCCAGAAGTCTCTGCCTCTGGAGTAGAGGACCTCAG